TTTTTTTTCGTGAAAATTTATGAAAATGTTATCAGAAACTGTGTTTTTCCTCGTACATTTACTTTTTTTTTCATCTACAAAGTGGCCCTAATACGCCGTCGTAAATAACTGCTGTTGATCAACAACAATGGAATAGCTTTATCTGACTGAACAAGGTCAATTTTTTGAGAGTGTTGTAAGAAATACCTTGTCGATCAGAGTGAGATGATGATCTGAGAAGTTCCATCATTTCTGCCAAGTTGGTCACAATGTCGTCAGAGGCTGATGCATCGATGAATCGCCCCCTCACCCACTGGACACTTCTCTGCAATGCATCAAGCCTACCAAAATTGTAGAACAAGTATATAGGTTTTGTATGTGATTTGCTGAGCAGAGGGAAAATGTTTTACAAGTAACTTTATTCTTCAGCGTTGAACGGTAAGTAGAATGAAGCCTACCTGAGTAATACAGCATGGCGCACTTCTGGTCCATTGTCTATTTGCACACGTCTGAAGCAATCGTTAAAGATGTTCTTGCAACGCAAAATAAAATCTCTTYGAGGCATTGTGCTTTCCTTGTGCCAACACCACAACCAACACTGGGCAAATTTTGCAAACAGAAACAAAAAAGTAACAAACTGTGCTGGAGCCAAGTAACTACTACGTTATACTTCAAGTTCAGTAGGTCTACGGTGGTGCAAAACAGCGTATTAATGCGCATGGCAGCCCACACTATGAGTCGTATCGAAGATCTTATTACGCAACATTAAGTAGGTCCGTTAAGTATATATTCCCCCCGCCATCCACCCGCCACATCCAGTCACGTGATGGCAGACTTGGAAAGATTAATAGAAATACGTGATGTTGTCAATGCACATTTCAGCCGTGCTATAAATGAAAGAAATGATATGACAAACATGGAACACGGGAGGGAACCTTCTGTCATGGAAAGGTGAGGATTTTTTTAAATACAGTGGGTGGGTTTTTTGTGCGCGATTAACGCAAAAAAATAAATAAATAGTATGCAGAAAACATCTTTTAGCTGTCAGTAGTTGTTTGTGACAAAATGTAGAAAGTGGCATTAGTTATTTCGTTAACTCATGGTCATACAGAATAAACCTACTTCGAGATTAGCTAACAATGTTGTACCCACAGTGCGCCAAAACTTTGCACGGAGAGCAAGAGTTTGCACGGGTCAAGTCATTAAATGGACTTGTTTAAAATCAAGGCCTACAACTGCATTAAAAAGCATTGGGCTGGAGCCAAAGTAGCATTAAATATTTTAGATTTCTCTTCATAAAACTGAAGAGGGATTTGGGAACCCTTCAGACGGACCTCAACAACTTCAGATTCAACGTACTAAAAGTAGCACCCATGCTAACTCTGTAAACAAGCAAGCTGGTGTTCCCAGCTGAATGAGACGGCACGTCTCTTACTGCGCATGCGTGTCACATCAGCGCAGTGGAGCGTTCACACTGGAGTCTGATGCAGGTCACATTTAAAATGTAATGTGAACGTTCACAACAAAAGATCCATAAACGCCCACCACCACCAAAAAAAATTAAAAAAAAAAATCTGTGCATCACCTGCAGCTCAACCAGGGAGTGCATTAACGTCTCCACTGTTATTAAAACTTGTCGCAGGTCCATTCTGCGCTCAGAAGACGTTTGTTTATGTTCATCACCGAAGTAAAACTTCCCTTGTTTTTTTTAGGGAAAGTTAACAACTGCGCATGTCAGTGCTTCTATTCAGAATAAAAGCCTGGTGCATGTAAACGCTTGTCAGCAATCAGACTGTGCCCATGTAAACAATACT